CTTTCCTCTAACTGGTTCTGTTTTCTATGCTCATCGGTTCACTCTTAATTTCTTTGCCTGCTTCATTTCCAGGATTTCTGCTATGTTCTTTTTTAACAATTCAATTTCTTTGGATAAATACTCACTTTGTTTATTAATTTGTTTTCTAAGTAAGCTGAATTGCCTGCCAGTATTTTCTCACATCTCATTGAGTATTTTCAGAACTGCAATCTTAAAATCTCTGTCATTCAACTCACATAATTCTGTGTGTTCCAGCCTGTTTTCTAGGGATTTTTCATTTTCTTTCTGGTCATCTTTGTTGTGGTGGTTGTTCACGGTGTTCCTTGTTCTCCTTTGTTTTCCCATTTATCTCTGAGAAGGTCTTTCTACTCTGTTCCAGTAGATGGCACTGAATTGTAAGATGTTTTTCCTCTGTGTCCTCACAGTTTTGACCCTCTGTGTCTTCAAAATAGACTCATCCAGGCTGAAAACCGACTTCTGCGCATGGGTCACAAAGTTTCAATCACACTGTACGTGTGCGCCCGCATACGGTATTTTGTGGAAGAGCCACACTCAAGGGACCAAAGAGCCGCATGAGACATGGTTTGCCGACCATTGGACTAGCCCAAGCACCCCTCCTGGGGTTTGGTCATAGAGGGAAACTGTGTTTTTACTATGACAGCTCTTGGCCTGCAGACAATACACTCCTGGAAACAATCCAAGGGCAATCAGCCCTGCCACTGATTAGACCTGGGAGTCTAATCAGTGGCAGGGCTCTGCGATCTACTTTCTTTTCCTGTAAGCAGGCAGCCAGGCCCAGCTGTGGAGAGTGACTATGTAGGGCAGTGTTTCCCAACCTTCTCTCATGATGAGAATCACCTGGTGGAGTTGTTAAAACACAGATTCCTGGATCCCAACTAAGAAGTGCTAAACTAGAATTTTTGAGAACATATAGGTAAAATTGCATACCTAACTTAGTGCTCTGTATATAAAATCTGTCTTAGAGCACTAGTTAAGTATACAATTTTACCTATATGTTCCCAAAAATTCTAGTTTAGCACTTCTTAGTTGGGATCCAGGAATCTGTGTTTTAACAACTCCACCAGGTGATTCTCATCATGAGAGAAGGTTGGGAAACACTGATGTAGGGAACTACTCTATAAGGAGGGTGTCTGATGACTTGAAGCTTATGCATGCAACTCAGATCTCATTCACAAGGTGCCACCATGGTTCAAACACTCTCTCTCACTGTTTGTGTGCCCAACCACACAATGCTGTCACTCTAGTGGCTATTCCAATAGCCAACAACTTGCTGGCTTAGCTTTCTGTTGGTCCAGACCAGCTGAAGAAAATGCCCATGACTGCTGCCTCAGTTCCCAGCTGCACTGTAGCCATATTCAGCTTCCCTCCCTTCTTTCGTTTCCCCACTTATTCCACTGAGTCCACTTTAGTTGTTCCAGTGTGCAGGTCTCTCAGGTATGCACCTGTGTTGAGCAGGTACTTCTTTGTTGAATTATAGGTGGTTATTTTGTTGAAATGTTAGGAAGAGAGGATAGATGTGCCCTTACACTGACATTCCTCTGATGTCACTCCCCCAAATTAAATAAATTTTAATTTAACTTTAAGTAGCTACAGGGGCTAATGGCTACTATCATGGATACTGCAGTTCTAAAAGAAAATTGACTAACAAGAAATACTAGCTAAATTCAGTGGATCAAACTTGGTTGAGTCCTGTATAGAAAAATTAGTTATAAATGACAACTTAAGGACAACAATGAATATGGACTAGTATTAGACAATATTGACAATTGTTATTTTTTTTGGTCTGATAACTACCCATAATTCTTAGTATTAAAATACTAGAGGCCTGTAGGGCTGTACTGCCTCTGTTTATTGGAAGGGAGAGGGGTTCCTCAGAGTGGCCTGCCCCCTCTCACATTCCGGGAACCCTCAGGGGTGGGAGGTGACCCAGAGATCAGGGGAAGGCAATGTTCCCATCACACCTCTGCTGCTGCCACTGCCAGCAGCACAAGCCTTGGCCAGCCCTGCTTACCTGAGCCTTGGGTGGCCCAGGGCAGCTGGGCAGCCACCATCCAAGGCTTGCCTGTGCCTTGGGCCAGCCATAGGCAGCTGGGCAGCTGCCATCTGAGACTTGCCTGTACCTTGGACTGGCCCTGGGCAGCTGGGGAGTTGAGTGGACTAGGGAACTCCAGAGGTAGGCGCACAGAGCAGCTGGGCCCAACTGGGGGCAGGCATAGTAGTGCCTTGTGCCTGCCAACCCGACGGGGCTGAGGGGACTTGGCACCACCATCTTTGAGGGATTGACAGTCAATTAGCATATTCCTTCTTTATTATATAGGATGCTTAAGTATTAAAGGGTAAAATGTCATGTTGTCTGCTGCTTGATCTTTAAGTGTCTCTGTGAGTATGAGATTAGAGGAGACTAAGAAGATATGACAACTAAATTCAAATGTATCATTCTTGATTAGACCCTAGAACAAATAAAGACCATTATTTAAATCTGAATAAAGACCGTGTAGTTATTTAATGGTATGGTAACAATTCTTATATCCCACATTTAATAATTATACTATGATTATGTTAGCATTAGGGGAAGCTAGATAAAGAGTATATGGGATATCTGTACTATTTTTGTAACTATATGTAAGTCTAAAATTATCTCAAAATAAAAAGTTTTTTAAAAATTACCATAAGTATGGCAGGATAGTAAGAAGCTAGGAAAAAATTCTGGGCAATTGGAATGGGAAAATTGAGACAAGAAAATTAAACAAGGCCAAACAGTTTGGGCAGCTTGCAGCCAGACTGTGAATCACATGACCTTATCTTCCCCAATCAAGGACACTTGAGAGCAAATTGTTTAGACAGCTCCTCCCTAACCAGAGATAACATAGCTTAAATCACCCTGGCTTCGGAAAATAGAGAACAAAGACCAAAATAATGTCATTTGTGCCAGATAAACACAAGGACAGATAAAGTATGAGGGACAAACAACAAAACCCCCAAAACTTTGTGATGGTATCACTTGGGGGATATTAGGCTGGAAAGATAGGTGCTAGAACAGGAGAGGGAAAGAAGAGAAAAGGGGGAGTTTATGTCAGCCACTAAACAAAGAAGTCAGCTGTTTTAGGTCTTGCTAAATAAGATGTCTAGGTGTATGTATAAACATTCTGAGATAAGCCACAACAATATAGAAGGAGACTTTGAAACTTAGTCTCCTTCCCAAAATATTTGGCAGCAGAGCTTTGAAACCTATAGGTTGGAGGGCATAAAACCTCTTGAATCCCCACCAGGCAAGGTGCTCTGATTAGCTGAGTTGCCCACTTATCTTTATGCCAACTGTATTCTTAATAAAATTCACTTGCTTTGCTTCCTTAGAAAATTCACTTACTTTTCTTCTTAAATAAATTTGCTTGCTTTGCTTCAGCACTGCTGTTTGTCACTCATTTGACTTCTTTCTCAAGAGCTAAGGAAGGGAGAGATCACTCCTCCAACTCAGGGGGCTCTCTGGTAGCATAAGAACTATAGGAGTTTCACAGGAAAAGTCCAAAATTGTTTATACAGTAAGGTTGATAGGGTCTGTGCACTGCCTATCTCTGTAGCATGTTTTCTCCTCTTATTCATAGTATCTATCATAGTAACACATAATTTCTTTGCAATAGCCTCAAGCCCTTTGCACATGGTGACTCTCCAACACACTCTTCTGGGGATAATCACTTCCTTACAAAAATTCTCACTCTACCCACCCCCAAGCTCAGATATATTTCCCTTGCTGTAAATCACATTGCATTCTTGACTTTCTCTCTCTCTCTCTCTCTCTCTCTCTCTCTCTCTCTCTCTCTCTCTCTTTTGCATTGTTCTTGTTATTTACTTGGATGATGACTGTAAAGGAAGGACTATATCAACAGAGTGGGAAAGCTACTTCATATTTGAATAAATTTAGGGAAGAACTTGAAAAGTTGGTGGAATCATAGTCATGTGTTCATAGTTTCTGATTCATGCATTCAATATTTACTGAGGCACCAGAATACAGTGGTTAATCACATATACACAGTTCCTACTAGACTGGGAAGATGAGTTATTTAAATAAAATTAGTTACAACTGTGATACATGGCTGGAATGATCATTGAACATTGTTAAAGAATGTCCAGATAGACTTCTGCTTTCTATTTTTATTTCTTGAGGGGGGAGGTCCTCAAAGTCTGCCTATCAAAAATCAAGGGAACCCTTTTCCATAAAGCTCCTCTTCCCAGTCTTTCTGGGGGTCAGACCTAAGGAAACACTCACAGCAGAACAAGTGATTCCTAGTCTCAAGTGGGCAACTTGCATTTCTGACTGGGCGAACCTTGATTTTCTAGGCCTCAGCTAACCCAGGGATGATCCCCTCAAACCCTCTCAGAGGAGTTTGGCTAGCTCCTTGGTAAGCTGTTCAATTATTCAACAAATTTATCTTTTGAGCTGTGTACCAGGCATCTTGTAGGAGCAGGGGCTAAAGCAATGAATAAAAGAGACAACACATTTGACCAAATGGAACCTAGAATCTAGTGAGGGGGAAGAAAGTAAAAAATAAGGAAAACCAGTAAAATCTAAGAAGGCATTTTAGACAGATATGTGCTGGAATAGGAAGGAAGAGTAATATAATGCATACACATGTATGTTTGTGGCAAGGTGAACATTTTCAATGGGGCAGCCAGGGAAAATGTCATGGCTTTTGAACAAAGATTTGAAGAAAGTAAGGAAACCAACTTTGGGAATGTCTGCCATTTCAAGTCAGGAGTGAGCCTGCCACCTTCAAGGACCAGCAGGGAGACCTTCAAGGACCAGATGGGAAGGGAACCAGGAGATGAGTCTGAAAAGCCAGTCACATAACCCTGTAGGTCACAATGGCCTCTTTATGGAAATTCTCATACTAACTTCTTTCACATAACCAATGCAGTGCCCAATTTTGTTATTCTTTGCCCTGTCATCACATAATAAGCAGTCAATCCATTTCCATACTTACTAAGTTCTATTGGGGTTCCACAGCCAGCACAGAAAAAATTCTGGGCTGCTACTACAAGATCCCTCCTAGGAGTAGAAAACAATGACAGTTACATGTCAGAAAAGGCCAATGGAGCAGTTTTCACTTATTGAAAAATAAACTGATATCATGATACTTTCCTTGGCTTGGGCCTTAATTTTGTCATTTTCCATTTGTGAAGAAATAGAATTACTCAATAGAGTTCTCTAGTTGAAATCCCTGGGCCACTAAAACAGAAGTTATTATAGTATGACACATAACACTTCCACCAAGTTCTTTAGAGACTTCACACTGTGTATACGCAGGATCCTCTCTCCAGAGAGAACTAGAAACAGGCAATGCAGGGAGAAAGTTTTGGTAGACCAGACATCAAGAGGTGATGTACTTGGGAAGTTCATAAATGGATCCAAAGAAATTTAGACAAATAAGGATAATGTAAGACAAAACTATATATTTCTGGTGAGAAACAATTTGGTAAAGTGTTTTCTATTGACTGTTGGTGCCATGACTTCACATGTGATTTGGAAATACAAAATAAATTATAAAATTTTATTATAGTTTAGGGCCAGCATGGCAAAAATATGCAGAACCCTACCCATGTGCCTTTTTTTTTTTTTTACAATAAGACCTCTTCTCGAGATTAAATTTCTTTAAAAAAAATCATTGATTTTTATTTCATGCCAGAGCTAGAGGTGCACGAAATTTGTGAGTGTGTGTGTGTGTGTGTGTGTGTGGGGGGGGGGGGTTCCTCAGCCCAGCCTGTCCTCTCTCACAGTCCAGGAACCTTCAGGGGATGTCCTACTGATGGCTTAAGCTCGTTCCCAACAGGGAGTGGGCCTAAGCCACAGTCTGGCCTCCCTCTTCGGGAGGCAACCGGGCTGATCAGGGAAAGGTGCCAGCCCCATCACCCCGCTGCTGCTGCCACTGCTGGCCACTGCAGCCACCAAGGTGTTTTCATCAACATGGACTCCAGTCCCTTCACCATGAAAAAAATGATAACTTTCTTTAGGCATTTTTAAGATGTCTCTTTCATAGAACATTTTTTTTTTTCTATCCTCACCTGAGGATATTTTTCTATTGATTTTTAGAGAATGTGGAAGAGAGAGGAAAAGACAGAGAAAAATATCAATGTGAAAGGCACACTTTGATTGGTTGCCTCCTGAATGAGCCCTGATCTGGGCCCTGGTCAGGGAGGAGCCTGAAACCTAGGTACATGCCCTTAATCAGAATCAGACCTGGACCCTGCAGTCCGCAGGTTGAGGCTCTATCCACTGAGCAAAACTGGCTAGGGCAGGATATGACATTCCTTAGCCCCTCCAGCAGGGGACCTTCGTTTTTTCCTCCAGGAGTGTGGTGGAAAAGCCCCAGATCACCTTCTTGAATTCTTATTACCCAAGTGAGTGGCATACCACAAGCTTAGCCAATGAGCGGTCAGAAAAGGTGTTTCCTCTCAGCTCCTGCACAGATGCTGGACTGCTGGGCACCCCAGCCATGAGGCTGCTGAGGGTCAGGCCCCCCTGCGGGTTTGCATCTCCACTCCAGCCCTCCTGCATGTTGTTCTCTCTGGCTCCAGGGCCAGGGCATGGTCAGCCCTGTCTGTTGTTCTTTCAGGCACTGGGCCCACGTCTGGCCCCTCCTCCTGAGCTGGTTGTGACCATTATAATGTCCCAGCCTAATTTCTCTCTCTCTCTCTCTCTCTCTCTCTCTCTCTCTCTCTCTCTCTCTCTCTCTCTCTCTATATATATATATATATATATATATATATATCTCCAATCTTTTAAAATTATTGTATATGATTTTTCAGGTTCAATACTAGACAATTAAAATAGTCCCTTTAAGCCTATTTTAGTTGCTAGGTAATGTTCATAATTAAAAGACACATAGTTAAATTCTCAACTTGTCAAAACTTACAGAGCCCCTCAAAAGCCAGGTGCCAAGAAAGCTAACTCAGAAAAATATGCCCAACCTACCTTTTCCTAAAAAAAAGTTTTTCTTTATCCCTAAGTGTATTATTTTTTTCCTTTTCCTACTTCCAGAGTCAGGTAGGAACTGAGACAGTTTAGGGAGTTGGGCCTAGGAATGGAAAAAATACCAGGTAGGAAGGAAGACAAGTGGCCAGAGGAACACCAGATGAACAGACGGCAAGAATGTCGCCATTCCTCCACTCCCTACTTAAAAATGCAGAAGTAGCTGATTTTATTTCCTTATAACTGCCTGCTTTTCTTTCTTACAGGTGTTGTAACTACTGACCACACTCAGTTGATCAAGGTTTGACTGCTATATGACCTTCCTAAGGTGGTGGTAGTGAACAGTCTGCCATCTTACCCTCACAGTACAGGTGGGAACATAGTTACCAGGCAACTCAGCTGGAAAGTGAAATCACCCCACCCTGAAATAGAAATTTTGCAAGCCTGCCTTTTTCAAGAAGCCCACCTTGTTCAAGAAGAACTGCCTTTTTGCACAAGCTTGCTTTGTCCCCAGCTCGTAAAAGGAGTCAAGCAGAATCAGCCCTCAGAGCCAGTTCAGATTACCTTCCTTTACTCTGTGTGCCTCCCTTGTGCTCCAGCATAAGCTTAATAAAACCTGCCTGTGGATAAAAAGGGGCCACATGCTAACCTGACAAGCCCAGGAAAAGTCTGCATAGAGGCCTTGCAAACTCAGAGACTTAAAGTAAACCTAAAGGATGGTCTGAAATCAAAACTTTAAAAGCAATTTATGTCAGGTAGTCATGTCCTAAGCTAGACTTTTCCCGAAAAAGTCAATCTTTACCTTAACTAAGGCTTTTGCATCTATGATAGCAGACCTTTGGAAATGTCAGGGTAACTCCCCGTGTTCTTCCAGACCCCCTCAGGCACAACCAATACACCAGGGAACCGGCCACCAATTCTCTCATTGTTATTGTTAGCATGTTAATTGTTAACTGTTAACTATCCCATACCCACCTGTGTAAAAGATGTATGAGTATCATCTTACATTTAATTCAATACCATCGGTTTCCCCTGCTTTGCTTTCTCCCACCTCCCTAATCTATCACCAATGGATTTCATGTAACCCACTTGAGTCTTCTCTTTTGATTGTAATGCATAAAATAAGGTGCAAAACTGCCATTCTCTGAAGTATTATCTCAATCCACTGATATTTGCATTCTGGCAATTGTCGACAGTTTGGTTCAAATAAACTCCAAATTTTCTATAGGTTTGGTTGTTTTCTATGTTGACATGTCTGATAATTTCTCAGGGGCTTATTCTCAATTTCTATATTGGGGAACCCAAGAACCCCAACATGGGTAACAGAACTAACTTGTTTTAACTGGACTGGAAGCCCAAACAGCAACCCCAACTTACTTCTGTGGTGGATGAACATTAACTATGACTTGAAATCTAGGGGGTGCCCAGTCTTCTGTCTCTCTGATCCTTGAGTTAAATTTAATTTTCTCTCCTAAATCCACACTGGATTCAAAGTCTTTTCGGATATGCTCTTCATTTACAACCTGCATAACAAGAGAGAATTTAGGAACCTAAACAAGCCTATTTCAGGAACTGAAATTAAAAAGAGCACTCAAATGTGTTTCCAACATTAAAACTTACCATGATAAATTAAAACTGCTTTCAACTGAACTAAAGGACATAGCAAGAGCCCTTCATGTGTCTGAAGCCATCTGGAGAAAAATTGTTTAAAACACCACCCAGCTGAGGTCACTTTTCTTTGTTTCTTAGTTATTTTAGTATTTCATTTGTTTCTAAGCTTCACATTACTGCAAGTAGGTCACTGTGACCTGCAATGCTTTTATAGAATGCATTTTAGTAAATAGTAGGCTGATAGATGCTGCCAATCAGAACCTCCTGTGGTTGTCAGATTTCCCCAGAAACATCTTTCAAGACCATTCCCCTGCTTGGCTCCCCTCCAAACCATTAAATTTCCTATTATCATTTAAAATCCAAACTTCTCAAATCAGCATTCTAGGTCCTCCATAGTTGGGCCACTAGTATTCAAGCCTTATTTCCCAGGATCACCACTGCCCTCCCCCAACCCACCAACATACACAGCAGGCAAACACATGCTATCCAACCACACCAAATCACTGCTCCATAAACACCTCATGCACCTCAATGTCATTTTTGCTTCAGCTGGCCTTTGCTCCCTTGCAATTCCAGAGATTTTTGCCTATCCCTAGTTTATTTGTTTATTTAATTTTATTAAATTTATTGAGTATAGGAGGGCTACTTCTATTTTACCTTCTGCCACAAAGTTCTCTGTTCCCATGAGCTGCATGCTGCCAGAGAGCAGAGTGTTCTACAGGGAACTGTGGTGGGCAGTTAGACAGACATGAGCAGAGCAGGACGAAGGGCCAAGTACAGAAGGTCACCGGGGTGGGAAGCCCCAGGTGCCTTACAAAGGACAATTGTAGGGTGGGACCTTGTCCCCAGGGTGACCTTTCCTGCCTTAGTATATATCTGGTCATGAGATTTGGAACAGTACCTTCTGGCCTTCCCTCCCTAGAGATAACATTTATGCCTAAAGTTGTATTACAGCTCCAGGCCCAGAAAAGCAACAAAACCAGTCACAACTGTCCTCAGGACCCGCTGCACTGAATAATCACCCTTGTCTGGTCCTTGCCAATCAATCAGTGGAAACCTAGACCCTGAAAGGACACACCTAGAAAACTGCTGAAATTTTATTGAGATCTTCCCCTGGGACGCCCCTAAAATCTCCACTCTTAAAACCCTTAAGACAGAGGAGCCTGCCAGCTCCAGGGACTCCAGGGACTCCAGGGAGAGCACTTTCTCTCCCTCCAGGGAGGGAGAAGGAGAGCATGCTTTCCCTGTGCCTTTTCATTTCCCTTTCCCTTCCTTCTCCCTGCCCCAGGCACATTACTGTTAGCTTCCGCACTCCCAAGCTCCAGGAGCCCTTCCTTCCTTTACCACTATAACTTGTTTCCTAAACCCATTTCTTCTAGAAATGACTTTTTCTACTTCAGTAATTCACTCCAAAAACGTTTGGGTCTTGGCTCTGAATTCTTTCCTGGCCAGAACCCAAGTACTGAGGTTGCTGACCCCAGGTTTGGTCTGACCCCACCAGTCAGACACCTGGTGCCTCAGAACCAGCCTGGACTTTCAAATTAGGCAGCATGAGGCATAACTCCTGCTGATACATGAAGAGTATCTAAATCTTACCTACAATAAGATTTAAATTTTTTTTTTATTGATTTCAGAGAGGAAGAAAGAGAGAGATGATATAGAAAGAAGTCAGGAAGGAATGATCTAGTCATATCCAAGGAGTATCTAAATTTTACCTACACTGACAAGCCCTGCTGGATGTCTTAATATAAAAATGATAATAGCATCTGCCTAATAGAACACATGAGAATTTAAATGTGAATATCTGGTGCATAATAAATACTCAGTAAATTTCAGATTCATCCTTTCTTTCAATCCCTCCCCTAACATCCAGGGACTATAAAGGAAACATATACGTGTCTAAAGTGAATATCAGGCAAAATATGAACTTAGGAAACTTCCTAGAATTCAACTTTCAAAGTCAATCTTTTTTGATACTTACTATGGAGCCAGATGCATTCAGGGAAACTGCCAGCTGATAATTAACTTCTGACAGCATCCAGCACTTACGGAATACTTGGTACAATTCTTTGGCTATTAGCTCAGCTGAATTGAAGTTTGGCTCATAAATAACACTGAAATGTAAGAGATGCAAAAAATTAACAATTATATTCATGGGGAGTATAAGGTTCTTCTTCAGATTTTCAACTATCTTTCCCTCTCCAAAAAAACTCAGAGGAGACATCTTATAAGAGACCATGCATCAACCATGGTACCAACAGTTATCTTACTCAACACAATTCCTCCATGTTCAACAGAGCAGCTTTATTTATTGAGGGTACCAAGACTGAGAGTATAGTGAAAAGAGCACTAGATTTAGAGTTAGAAGAGCTAAGTTCAAATCCTACCTCTGTGATTTAACAGTATTGTGCCCCGAGGCACACCCTGTCTGAACCTTAGTTTTTATATCTTTAAAATGGGGTTTTAAAAAAGCCTATCCATGAAGATTACATAAGAATGTATACAAAAGTCTTTTAAACATTATAAAAATGTTGTAGAAACTTGAGTGGTGATTGTTGCATTTCAACTGACTGGACTTGGCCTGAGATGTTCACAGAGGCCTGGAGTTCAGTATCTGAGAGGTGATGGCCCAGGGACCTATGTGAAGGAGGACACGAAAGGGAGATACCTCTTGGAGGAGCTACAGGAACATCCACAGGTTTCTGTGGTATTGCTGAACTCTCCAAGTTCTGTGGGAAAATAGAAGAAAGAGTAGAGAGGTCTTTTAGTCTGTTTCACTTAATCACAGTCAATTTTATAAGCACACAAAAATAGCTCCCTGCATTTCAGAAAGAATCACTTACTCAGCATCTTCATACATCAGTGTCCTTTGAGTTTCTATTATGAGGCTACAGCTAATAACCAAAGATGGAATTTTAAAATATACTCACCTGGCCTGGCCAGTGTGGCTCAGTGATTGACTGTCCACCTATTAACCAGGAGGCCATGGTTTGATTCCCAGTCAGAGCACATGCCTGGGTTGTGGGTTCAATCCCCAGTGGGCTATGTGCAGGAGGAAGCCAACCAATGATTCTCTCTCATCATTGATGCTTCTTTTCTTTTTTTTTCTTTTTTTAAAAAAATAGCATTTAAAAATATTTTTATTGATTTCAGAGAGAAAGGGAGAGGGGGAGATAGAAAGGGGGCAGGAGGGAGGGATCTACATCTTACCTACAATAACAAATTTATCAAAGTCACATTTGCAGGCCTCTTTCACCACATCACAGTAAGTAAGTGTTTTAACAATTAGGCTGACTTGTAATAAAGCACAACCTTGAGAAAGAAAAAGGGGGTTTCACCAACAAGAAAAAAAGCACACAATCTGTAACATGCAATTATATAGAAGTTAGGAATAAAAAAGGCTAAGAATTTTAAAATTCAGCTTCAATAAATTTTTTTTTTTAAAGCAGCGAAAATGGCACCAGGTGTTAGATCAATGGAGTCAGAACAAGCTTTCATTTAGCAGCTTCAGAAATGGAGTTCTGGTTAGGAAAGAATTCAGAGCCAAGATTCAAATTACATGAGAAAATTTATTTAGAAAGTCATAGAGTTAGAAGAAGTAAATTACAGAAAAAAATGAGCTCAGGAAACAAGTTACATGGGGAAAAGAAGGTCCTTGGAGCTTAGGAGAAAGAGAGAAATCAGGAAAATGAGCCTTGGGAGAAGAAGAGTGGGCTGGGGTGGGGAAAGACACTGGGTTGCTTGTCTGGTTTTGCTGCTTCTCTGGGCCTAGAGCTGAAATGCAACTGAGGCCTAGATGAATTTGATGCAGGTCAAAACCTAGTTGTCCTGGGAGCTTTCTGCTTAAGGGCTATTCTCTGTGCCCCCTGTTTGTTTTCCTTCTGAGGGGTGGGGGCCTAGCTATATGCCTAGCAACATTCCATGGGAGGATAGATCAGGGGATGGTCCGAACCGCATGACCAGTGTTATAAAGGTCAGACAGAGGGTCTAAACAGCATGACCAACAATATGATAGGGAAGAAAAGGTCACCCTGGGAATGAGGTTCTTGTTTTCCCAGTTTTATCCTTTGCTAGACATCCAGAGCTTTTCACCCTGGTGACCTTCTGTAGCACCTGACCCATCGCCCTTGCTTTGCTCATGTCTAACTGCCTACCACACAGGATTTATTTTTGTGTTGTTCTAACATTCACTATCACTAAGTAAAGCACACTGAGTCTGTGGGAGTTCATAAAAAGTAATTTGCCTGCTGTTACATATGTTTGAAAATTCCAATAATGCAAAGGTTTAAAAAATGGTAGTGGGGGGGGGGGGGAAATTCAGCTTCACAGTGAGGGAAAAATATAGGTGACATAAACACTGTACTGAGTTGAATAGTGTGGCATCCCTCCCCACCCACCCCCCCCAAAAAAAATCATATCTACCCAGAAACAGAGAATGTAGCCTTATTTGGGTCTTTACAAGATGAGGTCCTACTGGAGTAGAATAAACCCTAAATCCAATGACTGGTCATAAAAGAGGGAAATTTGGATACAGACACATATATATAGAGAGAGAATACCATGTGAAAATGGAGGCAGAGAATGGGGTGATGTGTTTACAAGCCAAGGAACATCAAGATTACCAGCAACAACCTGAAGCTGGGAGAGAGACATGAAGCAGATTCTCCCTCAGAGTCTCCAGAACTTCCCACAACTTCATTTCTGACTTCTGGACTCCATAAATGTGAGACTGAGTTTCTATTATTTTAAGATACCTAGTTCATGGTATTTTTGTCACAGCAACTCTAGGAAACTAATAAAATATGTACATACTTTTCTATCCCTAATACCAGTCTGGGGAATTGTCATAAGAATGTCATTAAAAAGAAAATGTAATGAAAGAGGAAGACTTTAGGACCTGGTTGGATAGCTAAATTGGTTAGGGTGTCATCCCAATACACCAAGGTTGCGGGTTCTATCTCCAGTCAGGCCAACCAATGAATGCATAAATAAGTAGAACAACAATCAATCTTTCTACCTCTTCTTTCTCTCTCAAACCAATAAGTACTTTTTTTTTTTTTAAAGGAAGAAGAAGGCTTTGATCACTAAGGAGCTATTTGTAGTCTATTTAAAATACTGAAAGCTACTTTAATGCCAAATAATAGGGAATTGATATTGTAAATCACTCTGTTAACTCAAGAAATAACATCATTGAAAAATGTGAAAGTCATAACAACTTGAAAAACTGGACATGAAATACTGATAATATAATCATACTAGTGTCCCAGAGCATGTATTTGTGCACATTGAAAGAAAATTAATTAGAAGAAATATTTTAATAACGCTATTCACATCTTGCTAATAAAAAGAAAATAGGATTCTACCGAGTCTCCTATCTACCTACTTGAGGACTTCTGTGAAGATCAAATGAGATGAAGCTCGTGAAAAAGCTTCACAAACATTTGGTTGAATGTTAGCACCTCGCTATAAAACAAGTCGGGTTCCTAAGCTAAAGAAACTCCAAGGAGGCTAGTTGCTAGGAAGAGGAAGTGGAGTGCTGCTATGTGATGTCATTACCCAGCAACCACAGTGACCATTTCCGGGCTGGGCTGGGCCGCATTTTGTACCATGGGGTCTTGGCAGCATTGGCTGCAATTTGGTGGGGTGTCACTCCGGGGTGGTGGCAGGGCCTGTGACCTACTTGGGGGAAGCTGAGTGTTACTTTGTGGGTGCCATGCCATTTATTTTTAAATGGTTAGTGTGCATGATAGCAGCTTCTGCATTGAGCATCTGCCTCCTGGTGGCCAGTGTGCATCATAGTTACCAGTCAGACAGATGGACACTTAGTCAGATAGATAGATAGACAGACAGAGAGAAAGAAAGAGAGAGAGAGAGAGAGAGAGAGAGAGAGAGAGAGAGAGAGAGAGAGATGAAAGATGAAAGATAGATTAGTGATGTAATTACATTAACATGAGCATATAATTACTGTAAAACTAAACTCACTTGAATAAACATAGAAATGAACACAGGTGTTTAGGGAAATAATGTAGTTCATATGTTACAGAGAAGTTATATGAGTGATCTTCATAGTTGACTGACCAGTTTAACATTGCATTGCCCCATCCCTGCCAGGTGACAATAGGCAATAAACTTCTCAGCTTTGGGTTCCTCATGGATAAAATGGGGGCAATGCCACCTATTTCTGTCTTTCCCACAATCTTTTGACCATGATCTACAGTAGTATACAATTTACATTGCAACTTAGTGTAAGCCCAAAAATATATTTAACTGTTAAAGTTCCAAGAAGCACTCCTTGTTCATCCTCATTAACCTCACTGAGGTGCACACTGATACTTCCTTTTCTTTTTTCTTTTTTTAATTTAATGCTCTCATGACCAAACTGCAATTTAAATATTTTTATTGATTTCAGGTTAGTGAGAGGGAGAGAGAGATATAAACATCAATGATGAAAGAATCATTGACCAGCAGCCTCCTGCATGCCCCACAAAGGGGATCGAGTTTACATCTCGGGCATGTACCCTGAACGGGAACCTCCTAGTTCATAGGTCACCGCTCAACCACTGAGCCATGCTGGCAGGACCCAACTTGCAATTTAAAGAACTGACCTACCTCATGGCATATCATCTATCACCATAATGTAAGGTGACCAGATGTCCCGCTTTTGGATGGACAGTCCCGACTTTTAACAATTTGTTCCGCGTCAGTGTTAAATACATTCACATTGTTCTGCAACCAATCTCCAGAAATCTTTCCTCTTGCAAAACTGAAAATCTATATCCATTACACAACTCCTCATGCCTCCCTCCTTGACTCCCTCTAGCACTAGGAGCCTAGAAATTTGACTACTATCTGTCCCTATGAATTTTACTATTCTAGGAACTTCACATAATTGGAATTATGCAGTACTTGTCTTTTAGTAGCTGGCTTATTTCACTTAGCATAATGTCCTCAAGATTTATCCATGTTGTAGTATATGTCAAAATTTCCTTCTTTTTTAAGTCTGAATAAAATTTCATTATGTATATAAAAAAAAAAATCGGGTCGCGGGACAAATTGTTAAAAATCGGGACTGTCCCACCAAAAGCAGGACGTCTGGTCACCTTAACCATTAGACATCTATTATCTGTTCCATGCATTCATACTGCTGGACCTATTTTATCCATCAATTTATTTTGTTCATTAGACTCCACATATAAGTGAGATTGTGTGATAATTTGTCTTTCTCTAAATGGCTTATTTTGCTTAACATAATACTCTACAGGTCCCTCCATGCTGTCTCAAAGGGTAAGAAATTCTTCTTTTTATAGCCACATAGTATTCCATTATGTATATGTACCACAGCTTTTTAATCTACTCATTTACAGATGGGCACTTGGGCTGTTTCCAGATATTAACTATGGTAAGAAATGCTGCTATGATCATAAACATGAATATATTCTTTCTGATTGGTATTTTTGGGATTCTCAGGATATTGCTTTGGGTAGAAAGGACATTTTAATTATATTAATTTTTCTAATCCATGAAGATGGTATATGCTTTTACTTGTTTATATTTTCCTCTATTTCAATTTTTAAAGTTTCATAGTTTTCTGAATACAAGTCTCTTACCTCATTGGTTATGTTTATTCTCAGGTATCTTATTTTCATTTGTTGTCATTGTAAATGGTATATATATATATATTTTTTTACTTTCCCTTTCTGAAGGTTCATTACTGGTGTATAAAAATGCCATTGATTTCTGGGTGTTAATTTTTATCTTGCTACTTTGCAGAATTTATTTATTAAATCTAGTAGTTTTTTTTTGGTGGAGTCTTTAGGGTTTCCTGTATACAATATCATGTCATCTGCAAATTATGACAGTTTTACTTCCTTCTTTCCAATTTGAATGCCTTTTATTTCTTCTTCTTGTCTGATAGCTATGGCTAGAACTTCCAGTATTATTATATCTACACTAATAAAAGAAAAAGATTCAAATTGACCATACCTCCGCAACACCCACCAGTCAATCTGGGGTTAGTATGCAAATTAACCCAACAAAGATGGAAAGTTATTTTGCATATGCAGGCGCCAAGTGGCCTAGATCCCAGGAACATCCTCAGGACCCAGGCCACTCAGCTAATGGTGGGGTTGGGAGGGGACAGGAATAAATTAACAAAAGAACATATATGCATATATTCATAAGTCATGGACACATATAATAGTTTGGGGAAGGCCTGCAGTGGGGCAGGGGTTGGATGGAGGGGGCGAAAATGAGAGATAAAAAATAAGAATAAAGAAATTTAAAAAGAATGATACTTAATACTAGTAAAAGATAAATATTTTATTTGGATGGTAGAAATATTTTTAAATTTCTTTAACATATATATTCTTAGAATTTTGTCTAAATATTAGTATTCAACCATTTTATAATAGATATGTTTATAAAATATCTATTTCAAGCAAGGCACTATGCTGAATGCAAATACAAATAAGATAAATCTCATCTATCAAAGAATTTAAAGAAACACAGTTGTGTGTTTTAAGAAGTTCAGAGGTGAGCTCCACATTGCACAACTCCAGGGGGAGACATGAGACTAGACAATTAGAGAGCATTCCAGAGAACAACTTATGTTTCATCCCATATGAATGGTACTCCTCTCCTGATAAAAATCAGGGAACACATCACAGTGCTGGTGGCAAAAAAGAAAAACACAAAAAACTGCTTTGAAAGAATGGGAATGATGAAGGAACTGATGTATGTTCCAAGAGAGCCTCGCTGAAGTAAAAGGAGGGAGGCCGGAACTTATGAGAAATGTCTACAAACAAGCATAACAGGCTAGTATAACTGAAGCCTAGGGTATGACAGAAATGGCAGGATATGCCTGGCGAGAAGGTAGGGAGAAGTTGGTTCCCAGAAGGCTAAAAATCCCAGGATTAAATGTGGAACAAAATCAGCAGGCCATTTTAGAGGACTAGAGAGACAGATGTATGTAGGGTCAATAATAAGGGAAAAGAGTTTGAAAGCAAAGAGAGAAAATTAAAGGCAGCAGATACATATGGAGGACCTAAATGCAGTTCTTACCAAATAACTGGCCAGAGCGTTGCTGCAGTGGTTTAGGTAAAAGGCAGGAATGAAGAATGGATGGAGGGGATGTCACTATTACTGAGAAGTCAGGATTGATTTGTTCACTAACTACAAACTGGACAGGGGTACAGGCACAAGGAAGAAGAAAAAGTCAAAGATAGTGTGCTGAGCCCTGGTTGGTTTGGTTCAGTAGATAGAATGTTAGCCTGCAGACTGAAGGGTCCCTGGTTTGAGTCTGATCGAGGGCACATGCCTGGTTGCTGGCTCAGTCCCCAGGGCAGGGCATACAGGAGGCAACCAATCAATGATTCTCTCTCATCATTGATATTTCTCTCTCTCCCTTTTCCCCTCCCTTCCTCACTGAAATCAATAAAAAAATATTAAAGAAAAACGATAGTGTGCTGAAATATGAACCACGTGCCTTTTCTCTCCACTGGTGGCCTCAGAGGGGATGATAATCTATATTGCATTCCCTGGCCCAACTGGTCACACAGCTAGCTGACCAGCTGTGGGCACCTAATTAAAGCAGGTGACACCACATGCTCTTCCTGGTAACCTAGACTTGGGGTCCAGCAAGACTAGGCTGAGCTGTGAGGCCCTGACTGAGAAGATTCCCAAGGATATGGCAGACAGAAACAAGGGCTAAGAGCTTGGTAGGCATGAAGAAGTCAGGCTGTGGAAAGGGGAATGAAGCAACTGCATGCATGAAGAGTAGCAATTGCATTTTGTTGCCCCAGAAAATACAAATGCCAGAGCTGCCTTTTTACTGGTCAGTTTTATATTTCCCATCTCTGGGTTCAGTGAGGATGCTCTATATACTTTCTAAATAATGTTCCTTTTTAATTTGAGCCAGGTAGTGGATTCAACAATTTGTTACACACCTATTTTATGCCAGGCATTGTGTTACATGTGTACTACTGGGAGGGAGTACTTCCTGAAAGGGTCCTGATTAAAATGCAGGTAAAGGATGTCAAAAAGAAAAGCAAGCATTCGTTTTTAATCTTTTTTTTTCTTCTTCTTACTTTTTTCAGAAAGGGGCTTGTGAGCAAATGAAAGAGAGATGACTGGTTTAGACGTGTTAAGCTGGAGATCCTGGGAGGCCATTCGGGTGTACGTGTTCCACAAGTCCCAGCCATACTGAGCAAGCACATGTAAAGAGTTGCAGGACTGAAAACACAGATTTAAGATATGTCAACAGAGAGGGAATAATGAAAAGATGTTGCAGTAGATAAAATCTCTGGGTAGAAAGAGAAGAATCTAAGACCGAAGCAGGACTCACACTTAAGAAATGGTAAGAAAATGACAAACCCTGTCTTCAGTTCTCGGCTTAGGTATCCTCCCCTCCAGGAGCTCTTTCTACTCTGAGACCCGCTGCCCTGGGTCCCTGCCTATTACCCAGTGATCCCACACTGCCGGACTCCACCACGAGAGCTCCTGGAGGGAAGGAGCACATTTTGTTGCCTGGAGATGCCCAGCACCCAGCACCTCTCAGGCTCCTTGTTTGTGGAGTGAATGAAAGAGGACTTGGAAAGGAAGAAGAGTCAGGAGAATGCTATGTTGACAGAAAGCAAAGGAAGATGGAAAACTTCAGTCATAGCCAAAAGAAAAATTAGGATGAAGTCCAAGAAAAACAACAACAACACATTGATTGTTGGAGCATACTAACTGATCCCAAGACCAAATGGCACAAATGATGAGGATAATATAGTAGTAGGTTATTTCAGAAGTTTTAGACAAAGGATTTAAAGATGTACTTCCAGATTTGACAGAGGAGACAAATATGTGTAGAGATTACAGCATAAAGCTTTCTCATATTTGCCACACTTGCCTTCATAGCCACTGTTTGAAAAAGTGGAAGACCCAGATTCCTGCTTTATATTGGTATAAAAGGTCATTTCAGAGTCAGTTTGATCATTCCCAAGTGACCCACCGGCTTCTTCTATACTCCAGTTCTCTGTGTGCTGTTGACTCAGGATGTTACACTTCATTTTCTCCATTGCTGATATAATCATATCTGCAGCATAAAAGTGGGCATTTTCCTATAGAAAAAAATCATCAGTTAAAATGCAAAAGGATAATCAACTCTTTTTTTCATTGAGGTATATTACATTAAAAAAAAAAATCAAGAAGCAGGCATTCTCCTTCCCAGGAGCATACCTGTGCCTTTCCCTTTCCTTTTCCTTTTCTCTCCACCCCCACCCCGCCACCTCCCACCCCAGGCACATTACCATTAGCTTTCTCACTCCCAAGCTCCAAGGGCTCTTTCTTTACCTCCATAAATTGTCTCCTAAGCCCATTTCTTCTAGGAGTTACTTTTTCTACCTCTGTAGTTTACCAAATAAATGTTCTTGATATATATATCAAGAAGCTGTATTTAAATGGAGTTAATTAGAGGTTATTTTGTAAAGGACAGCCCATATCTTTCAGACATAAGACATAGCCACTGCAATCAATAAACAACCCAATTTGAATTTCTTGTGATATAAAACCCTAGATTGGTGATGGCCCAATGGTTGGCATCATTTATCAATCATGACAGACTTTCCAGCTGAGCATAGACACTGCCTCAAAACCATTCTCAGCTTGGAGCTCTTGACAGCCTCCACCCTCTATCAATCAATTGCTGAAATGAAACCTACTTGCCATGCTTCATGAAGTGAAATTTCCAAATTTAAATCATGACAGCTCTATCTAAAGGATTAACACTCTCTTCGGCATAAAAAGAAAGTAATAGTAAAATATTCACCTTTTCTACATCAACTGGAAGCATGAATGCTTCTGGTGAGAAGGAATTTAACAAGATGCTTCTTCCATTTATTTGAACAGCACCTGACAATACAGCAAGTTATTAAAAATAGAGAAAAAGAAGTCCAAAGATTACTTAAGAAAACAAAATGATTGTAGGGAGTGGCTTTTAAATATTGTTTTTTAATTAACACAACTCTAGAATAAATTAGGATGACAAAAGAAGAATGACTCTTCTGGCTTGCAGATATTGCCTTAATGGTAATCATTCTACAAGAGGCCCTTGGAACAATAAGAACACCTGGAAGAACCCTGGGATGGAGGAGACCAATGAGGCAGAAAGACAAGAGAATCATGGAAACTACTTAAAGGAGATGAAGAAAGGTGAGAAGAAACAATCTAGAAACAGCCATAAGAGTCATGGATTCACTTCTCTAACTCCCTGCAATTGACCACAAACTTCCTGTTTGCAGAAAGAAAGTATCTGAAAAATGTCAGCTTTGTTTCTCTAAAATGGTCTTCCTCCAATCAAAAACAAGAAGAAATTACAGAAAGTATATTCAGTTGACTCATCCAGTCTGTACCCTTAAGCAACTCCATTACTGGCAATGAACACCAGCAAAACACATGCAATTTCTTATTATAGCATTTAAGTCAAAAGATTATTTGTGAGAGCCTTAAAAGCTGGGTTGTCCCAACCTATTAATACTAAATTAGAAGAAAATGATGCCAATGTCTTGATGATTATACAGTTCTCAGGGTGACAGAGAGACAAGCAGGATCACTCAAATCACTCAAGGAAGCTACTGTTCCATGGAAAAAAAAATTTTCTTTTCTTTTCTTTTCTTTTTTTTTTTTTTTTTTAATTTCAGAGCAGAAGGGAGAGGGAGTAGGAGAGATAAAAACATCAATGATGAGGGAGAATCATTGATAGGTTGCTTCCTGCACACCCTATAATAGGGATTGAAATGCAACATGGGCATATGCCGTGACCAGGAATTGAACTGTAAACGCCTGGTTCTTAGGTTAATGCTCAACTACTGAGCCATGCTGGTCGGGGCCATGGAAAACTTTGAACCTCTTAGATTCAGAAGCCATCTAGAGTGGGCAAATTTTTTTCAGAAAAGAGCAAATAGCTAGTACATATTGTAGGATATGAGGTCCATATAGCATTTGTTCCAACTACTCAGTTTTTCCATTGTAGTGAGAAAGCAGCTATAGATAAAACAAGCAAAATATTATTTGTGAAATCAGGAGGCTGGCTGAATTTGACCCAGTCATTATTTTTGGACCCTGAAATTAGAGGAAAGTACAGAGATTAATCAGTGTAGATTCTAGTTCCAGCTCTCCATGTACCAGCTGAGTCTATGCATTGAAATTTCCTCATCCCTAAAAAAGAAGGAATTTTTACCATTTGCAGCAGCATGGATGGACTGGAGAGCATTATGCTAAGTGAAATAAGCCAGGCAGTGAAAGAAATATACCACATGATCTTACTCATTTGTGGATTAGAGGCCTGGTGCACAAATTAGTGCACGGTGGGGTCCCTTGGCCTGGCCAGTGGTCAAGGCCTATCGGGGGGCTGGCTGGCAGAGGGGAGGGAACATAGGAGGTTGGCTGTGGGACTGCACTGACCACCAGGGGCTGCTCCTGCATTGAGCATCTGCCCCCTGATGGTCAGTGCATGTCATAATAACTGGTCAACAGGTCTTTCCAGTCATTCAGTCGTAACAGTTGCTTAGGCTTATATATATATATATATATATATATATATATATATATATATATATATATATATATAATAAAGAACATTATAACCTGATGAATAAAAAGAAGGATACAGAGGCAGAGAAGCATTGAACAGACTGTCAAATTATAACATGAAGGCTGAGAGTGTTGGGGGGGGGGGGGGTAAGAGATTAACCGAAAGACTTGTATGCATGTATATAAGCATAACCAATGGACACAAGACACTGGGGAGGGGGGGTATACAGGGGGCAGGGGAAGGGGAGTAGGAGAGGCTGGGGAAGGTCAATTGGGGGGAAAAGGGAGATATATGTACTATTATTTTTAATACTTTAAAAAAATAAAATAAAATAGCCGAAACCGGTTTGGCTCAGTGGTAGAGCGTCAGTTTGCGGACTGAAAGGTCCCAGGTTTGATTCCTGTCAAGGGCATGTACATTGGTTGCAAGAGGCAGCTGGTTGATGTTTCTCTCTCATTGACGTTTCTAGCTCTCTATCTCTCTCCCTTCCTCTCTGTAAAATATATATTTTTATATAAATATATAATAAAATATATATATTTTTAAAATAAAATAAAATAAAGTGAATATATTATAGCCCAACAGGCATGGCTCAGTTGGGCATCTGCCTATGAACAAGAAGTCATGGTTTGGTTCCTGCTCAGGGCACATGCTCGAGTTTCAGGCTTGATCCCCAGTAGGGGTTGTGTGAAAGGCAGCCAATCAATGGTTCTCTCTCATCATTGATGTTTCTATCTCTCTTTCCCTCTTCCTGCCTCTCTGAAATCAATAAATATATATTTTAAAAAATATATTTTTCCTGCCCTGACTGGTTTGGCTCAGTGGATAGAGCGTCGGCCTGTGGACTGAAGGGTCCCAGGTTCGGTTCTGGTCAAGGGCATGTACCTTGGTTGTGGGCACATCCTCAGTAGGGAGTATACAGGAGGCAGCTGATCGATGATTCTCTCTCATCGATGTTTCTAACTCTCTATCCCTCTCTCTTCCTCTCTGTAAAAAAATCAATTATATATATATATTTTCCCTCATTCCTTGAACTGGGGTATTTATTAAGTTAAAAGAGTAAAGAATGTGAAAGTGCTTTGTAAATGTGGAGATTCTATGCAAATGAAGAAACTGGAATTGTTTCTGACAGCCCAAGGGGTCTTTTCCTACCATTTTATCTAGGGAAGGAAAACCCTGCTGCTACCACTAGAGGTGCACCAGTCACAGGAAAATCCCAAGTCGTAGAGGCAAATGCCTGTTCTCCCATTGTTGCCACACACACCAGAGACAGAAAGACCTGATCATCAGGATTTTTTTTTTTTTTAATCCCTTGGAATCCCTTCACCAAGTTGAATACTCCCAAAAGACAGAGTTTTTTTTGTTTGTTTGTTTGTTGTTGTTTGTTGTTTTTTTAAGGTACTCAGAGAGATTGTTGGGGCTGGAGTACCTATTTTCTATAAAGACAAAGACAGGATAATTTAAAATTTCACAACCATTTCTATGCAGTGATACAACAAATGATTTGGGTCAAGTGTGTACTAGGCCCTAAAGAGACCCTTCTATTGAAGCATCCATCTTATATGAAAACTGCTGTTTAAAATTTTAACCCTGTTAATTGGCTCCTGTAAATTCTTGCTTGCTAAGACTACTCCCACTTCAGCTAAGCTACTGAACTTCCCCAGACAAGGTCATCAGTGCTGGCACCAGGCCAGGCCTCTGTTTGAGGTCTCAAGGCTTCAGTACACACTGGCTCTTTAAGAACTTGCAAAAGGGGGCTGGAAACACTCCATATTTGGGAGACAAAGAGAATAGGATCATATAAATAGGGAGAATTCCTGCATGTTGGGGCCCAGAATTTGAGATACATTATCCTCTAGACCACATGTGTCAAACACAAGGCCCGCGGGCCAAATCCGTCCCGCCAGGCCTTGCAATGTGGCCTGCACTGCGCTGTCATCACTGCATTCCGCTGCGTTTCCATCACAATGACAGTTTATGACTGTTCAGTAAACCATTCAGCCCGAGATTTAGGCTGGATTTTAGATTTTGGCCCCTTCTCTGATTGAGTTCGACACCCCTACTCTAGACCCTCGCATAATAAATGTGACTCCGTGTTTCTAAGTATTGCTTTGTTCTTCTTCGGTTTTCTGTAACACTGTACTACATAACATGTCATAGTGGTGGTGGTTTGCAGGGGAAGAAGGCATTCCCTTTTCTCTATTTCTCTTCACTCTTCCCTGTGAGGCAATCTAGTAGGAGACTAATCTCCTATCTGGCAACCACTAAATTTGCAAATTACTCTTTGCCATAGAACTATCCCAGCAGATGAGCAAAAAGATAGAAAAAAAGGCCTATACTCAAAGTGTTTTATTTTGCTCAAATTTGGTTCTTATTCTTAGTTAGTCCGTTGAAAGATTGCCCCAAATCTGCTACTCTTCAGCAATGATTAATGTGTTGAAGACTATCATCATCTTTGACTTTTCCAAGTTTTCAATAGAACAAATAAACCCCATACTTTAGGAAAGGGGATGACTAGTTCCTGCTGAAATATAGTGGCAACCATACTTTGGTAAAAACTGCTGTTTGAATTTTAACCCTGCTAAGTCTGGCTCCTGCCTGATTAAACACGGAATACTTACCTCAGCTTCCAGGTGGAGACCCGGAGGCTAAGGCAATTTTCCCCTGCCTGGGACCAGGACCACAGGAGATTGATTCCCACTGACTCAGTAGCTTCAGGGATAGAAACTGTAGATAACCTTTAGAGACTAACCACTGAGCTCTGCTTCTGTGTTATCGCTATCACAAGATAGGGCCACATTCCAATGTCCAGCAGGATGTGACTGGGAACCGACCCTGCGGGCTGTCCCCAGTCTTTAGAATTTAGTCTTTAGGATTTAGGAACAAAAGGAAAATTCTTGCAGTTTAAACCTTTAAAAGGGATTGCCTACTTCTGAAACGGTGCAGTCGTGTGAGACCACCTGCGTGTGGTGCTCTCTCGGCTGTCCTGGCCAGTTCAATAAATCCTTGCCTGCTTTTTTTAATTAATCATCAGCCTCCGGTGGTCTTATTTTGAACCCAGGTTTCGACCCCACAACACTGCTAGTGAGATATAAATGAAATATGGTAGCAACCATACTTGAGTAAAAACTGCTGTTTGAATTTTAACCCTGCCATTCTGGCTTCTGCACTTGCTTAAACATAGGGTAGTTATCTCAGCTTCCAGGTGGAGTCCCGGAGGCTAAGGCAATTTTCCTGTGCCTGCTACCAGAACTACAGGAGATTAATTCCTACTGATTCAGTAGCTTCAGGGGTAGAAACTATAGATAACCTTTAGACATTAACTGCTGAGCTCTGCAATGTTCACAGCCTTTAGATTTTAGAATTTAGAACAAAGGAAAATTCCTGTGGTTTGGACATTTAAAAAGACTGCCTACACCTGGGACGGTGTGATTGTGAGTGTGGCCACCTGTGTGTGGTGCTCTTGTGGCCATCCTGGCCAGTTTTTCAATAAATCTTTGCCTGTTGTTTTTTTTATAATCAATCATCAGCCTCCGGTGGTCTTATTTTGAACTCAGGGTTTGACCCCACAACAATAAATACATACAAGCATGCACACATACAAATTCACACATAACACACAGGCAGCTTTTAAAATTGTTCTGACAGAAGAACTTACATTGACTACTTGACTTCATTGACTAACAGAAATATAAATTAATGCAAAGCATGAATATAAAAATAATGAATATTTTTATACATGCATATAAGTACAACCAATGGACACAAAACTCTGGGGAGGGAGGGGATGTGTGGGAGGGAAGGAGGGGGGCAAAAAAAATCAATAAAATATATTAAAATAAATAAATAAATAATAAAAAAATAATGAATATTTTAAAATAAAATAAGCATGCTACAAATTATAACAATGATAGCTAATTTATTGACTCCTCAATGGCATTTTGCATGGATTATCTCCTTTTAGGAATTTCAGTATTTTAGGAATATGTGCATCACTTCATAGCTGGAAACCAAAACCGAACATTGTCACTGGTAATAATATGTAAAGGGAGCTGGCCAACCCTGATAGCTCTGAATGGCTGGAGCTATTAACTCATTGTCAAGGTTGAGTTGCTAGTGGTAAAATGTAAAAAGAGCTGGCCAACCTGGATGGCTCTGAATGGTCAGAGCTATTAACTCATAGTCTAGTTGAGATAGTGGTAGTTGAGGCAACTTTAATTTGTTAATCATAGGTAAATTCTTATTGATTCTCTATTGTTGGAATTTCCTGCCTAAGAGATGTCTTTGTCTCAGAATCTCAATAGAAGGAATGGTAAAAGGCCAGAGGAAGTAGTCCTCCCCTAGAGGTGGACTTCTGCCTGGCCCCCATTTCCCCAAATTAACTCTTTTCCAGTCCATTCATTTTAGTGTGCGGCCTTCTCCAGAAACCAGACGCTGAGTGGGCCCTAAACCACACAGGTCATGTTAAGGAATCCCACAGGGAGCCCTTAATTTAATTTTCTAAAAAAGTTTTGCATAGCCTTTGGGAAATTGTGGTTACTATTTTTGTTTTTATAAATATATTTTTATTAAATTCAGAGACGAAGGAAGAGGGAAAGATAGAAACATCAATGATGAGAAAGAATCATTGATTGACTGCCTCCTGTATACCCTCCACTGGGGATGGAGCCTGCAACCCAGGCATGTGCCCTTGACCAGAACTGAACCCAGGACCTTTCAGTCCGCAGGCTGATGCTCCATCCACCAAGCCAAACCAGCCAGGGCATGGTTACTATTTTTAATACTGACAGCTTTCTAGTCACACTCTATCCAGGTAAATATAACAGGAAAGGCAAGTTCATTTCCTAGTAAGTACTGGTGTGCTGGTGTGCAATGGAGCCCACTCTGTCAGGAAACACCAGCACAGTGAATTGAGAGTACTTCCAATGCCTGCCTTGCAGGTAATTTCATAAGCTGGAAGTCCCTGAAGGCGCACAGCAGTTCAAAATTAACTGGTGGCATTGATTAACAACTATGTTGACCTAGGATGGCATTTCCCTGCAGTCTAAGGAGAAAGGAAATACTTGAATTCACAGCTGTGATGGTCCAGGTAGATGGGCCAAAGGTAATATTAAATGACTTAATGCACTGGCTTCTGGTCTATGAGTAAACTCTTGACATTTTTTTCTTATGAGGAAAACAGTGAGGCAGTCTTTAGACCTTTAGATCAAGACAAAGCAAGTGTGTGAACACATAGGAATGAGGGAAGTCCCTGACTAAAGTTACCTTCATCAGTGGAAGCTGTCAGGTGAGAAGGCTTGAAACAAGCACTGTCAGCTTCAGGACATAAGGAAGCCGTCAAAATCTTGGAGCTTGTGAACGGAGACATCCAAGGAGAGCGTCCTGGGGGCTCTGCGTGCTCTTGCACGGGGTTAAAAGAAAAGTCACTGCTCTTTTTACCCGAGATATCCATGGAGCCCGCGGTGTCCTTCCACAGTGATGTCTCCACCATGGAGTTCTCAAGAGACAAAGGTGAAGTGCCCAAGGGAGAGGCAGTATCCCCCACAGAGTTGCTGCCAATGTTCCTCACTGTTGGCACCTGAAGCGGCAAATCCCGCAGCTGAAGCTGCATAGCCTGGGGATTAATCCAGGCAGCTTTGTGCCTCGTGAACCTGACGTCTGATGGGCAAGAGGGGCAGTCAGTGTCCAGGAGGCTGGGTAAACCATCAGTGTCACCGGAGTCATCACTCACCCCTCCGCAGGGCTCCACAGGAAAATCCTGCTGGCCCAAGGACTGTGACACCATCTTTCCAGGCTCAGGGCTGATGTGAATTCCGTTGTCCTACTAGATCAGGGCCACGGGGTCACCATGTGCCAGTAGGAGGGCTGGAGAGTTGATCTGCAGTGAGTAAGAAAAATTCAAGATAAATGAGGGCTCAACCATATTTTTTAATGTAATTTCCATTGAGGATGTAAAAAATAAAGTTTATACTTCACCCCAAACAACACAATTAATCCATTTGGATCTGTAAGTCAAAAAATAAAATAAAGCAGTGTCGTGAAGGCCTGGGGTGCAGAGTAGAGGCAGGCTAGAAAGAGATAATGAGGGGAAAGGAGACACTTCAACAATAAAGATAAAAAAATAAAATAAGCTGGGACTGGTTTGGCTCAGTGAATAGAGCGTCGGCCTGCGGACTTAGGGGTTCCGGGTTTAATTCCGTCAAGGGCATGTACCTTGGTTGTGGGCACATCCCCAGTGGGGGGTGTGCAGGAGGCAGCTGATCGATGATTCTCTCTCATTGATGTTTCTAGCTCTTTATGCCTCTTTCTTTCTCTCTGTGAAAAATCAATAAAATATATTAAAAAAATAAATAAATAAAATAAAATCTGTCATAAACTAACAGCAAACATGGGGGTAAGAAAAGGTTTTCAAAGCATAAAAATAATTGAAGAGTGTTTTTATTATAAAGATAAAGTTGTATAAGGAAACTGTTGATAAAACAAATAATGTAAAACATCCATGCATTATCCCAATAAAAGTAAATGTCAAAACAAAATTGGAAATATTATCTAGAAGTAAAGGCATACTTTCATAGTTTCTTATTTTATTTAGTTCGTGTTTGTATTTCAACAAAGTAGACGATGGCACATGAGAATGAACAATCAATAGCATTAAAAACTTTGTTTCATGTAACTTACATTAGCATATGATGTTTCTATCATAATAGCAATAGAAATTTATGATTAGTTCATCATAGCTAAAGAACACAGTCTAAATCTAGAATCTATCTAAAATATGGTCTGCTCACTTTAAGCTCAGTTTTTAGCTTTAGTAAATGAGGTAATGTCAAGAGCTTCACAAATGAGAAGCACTCTTGTCACTGTAATTACAGGCCACCACAGTGTCTTTCTACTCTTCTCCCACTGTCCTTCACACGGTAAGGCTTCAAAGCAACCATCAACAGCAAAAACAAGGTTAGAAAGGGGAAGACTGAGAAACAAGCATTCTGCTTAGGCGAGTTTTACCTAAATAAATGGTGAGGCACACAATGAGTATGAGACTTTGGAGTCATGTCCACGGTTCTCAATACCACCATTATGTATGGAGATGGTTCCCACATGGATCTCTTTTCCTGATCTCTCCTTGAACTCCAGGCTCGCATATTTTACTACCTAACATATGTCCAGTGGGCATCATACATACAAAAAAGACGCTGATTTCCCCCAAATCTGTTTCTCCCTGGTTTCCGATCTCAGGAAACACACTTTCCAATAGCTGAAGTTACCAAATCTAGGAATTATCTCTGATCCTATATTTGTCTAGCAAGTTTATATCTATAGCTACCACCCTATTCTAAAGTCACCATCTTCTCCCACCTGGACCTCCTCTATTTTTCCAGTGGGTTTCCCCACTTCTATTCATATATATATATATATATATATATATATATATATATATATATATATATATATAATTTTTTTTTTTTTTTTTTTTTTTTTTTTTTTTACAGAGAAGAAGGGAGAGGGATAGAGAGTTAGAAACATCGATGAGAGAGAAACATCAATTCAGCTGCCTCTTGCACACCCACTACTGGGGATGTGCCCACAACCAAGGTATAATATATGCCCTTGACTGGAATCGAACCTTGGACCTTTCAGTCCGCAGGCTGATACTCTATCCACTGAGCCAAACTGGTTAGGGCCATTTCTACTCTTGTCTATTTATAATCAAAAGATAGTCAGAGATATTTTTAAAAATAAACTTGTATCAGATTTCTGTAATTAACCTCCCTCCAGATCCTTGCCCATAGCAGCTCATCAAATAGGGAATAAAATTAAAATCCTTACCTTGTCCTTACAGCATGATATGTTCCTGCTTTTCTCATTTATCTTTGTCCAAACCGTGCAGCAAATTTTTGAGTCCTACAAACTCTTACACACCCTAATCCCTCTGCTCGGAATGTTTTTCCTCCAAATGATCACTCATCTGGCTCCTTCCTGTCTTGTTGTATGCCTTGGTTTATGAATTACTTCCTCAAGAAGTCTTTCCTAACTACCTATCTTAAAGTCGTTTCCCCATTACACCCTATCACATCACCTTGCTTAATTTTCATCACAGGAGTTCTCACTTCCTGGTATTTTTATTAGCTCTTACTGTCATTCACCTCCACCACCTGACTATAATCTCTGTGAGAGCAGAGGCCTTGTTGTCGGTTCTCTGCCAGGTCATAGAGTTGTATACAAGGACTCAATAAAAATTACAAACTAAATGAACAAATCCAAGTGGAAATAAAGTCACAAGCTGGAGATACAATTTCGGTGATAGATATAACTGCTTTTTTATTGTGGCAGAATTATTCATACAGAGATAGGAATAATCCATGTTTCATAAATATATAAAAAATTTCCCACAAAGCAAATAGACAAAAAGGTGCATGTGAAAATTCTATGAAAAATCCTTAGCTTTAGTCTATTGGGGGATCTTCTGGTCAAGGTCACATATTTTGGAGTGATGTAGATATATTTATATATCATCCTGAAACCACTGTGAAATCTCCAAATCATTGCTCATAAAATTTCACAGAATACGGTGATAACTGGCAGAACTTGCTACCCTGAATTGCTTTATCTTCCTTCTCCTAACCTAAAATTTTACCTTGTATCTCAATTGCTCTTTGTCACATCTTTTGCTCTCCAATAATTTTAAATGTTATAATTACAAAAGAAAACCATAACTTTAATAAAATGTACAAAGCACAGAAGCTTAGAGCAGAAAGTAAAGAACTCTGATTGCACCAAGCACCACCAACCCTACTTCATTCCCATACATACCATTGTTAACCATTTTATTCCTCTGAGACCTTTTCCTGAGTTAATATACATATCTCAGGTTAGAAATATGCTTTGTTTTCTTTTCTATATATACACATGGGGTTATACTGGTCATATTCTATAACCTACCTTCTTTTCTCTCAATACTATGTCTTGAGGGTATATATACCATTCATCTTAATTGTCTTACCACCTGTTACAGTATAAATGCATCATAGTTTACTTATACATAGTTTTCACTACAAAAAATATACAGCACTAAACATTTTTGCTCGTGTTGCTTTTTGTTGACTTTCTTTTACCAAATATTTTCTGTTACTATTCCAATTTTAATGCTGCCTCATAGTTCATGATGACATTCGCTATTTCCAAGAGAATGATGTCATGGTTTAAGTCATGTTTTACTCTCAATTCTCTATACTTCATATCTGCTTTTGTGTGGGGGAGATTACAGATATAAATCATATGAAAAATACAAAGTCTCAAACAAATTCTGTTTTTTTTTAATAAACAGATTGAAGTCAATAATTAAAAAAGAATGATATTATTTACAACCTCTCTCCCCCTTGCCAGGTACAGAATTGACTTAACTGCCTTGAACAAAAACAGACTTACTTATAAAAAGTAATTTTCATAAGCAGGTGCTTGCTCCACTTCCTTTAGAAATGTATTATTGCATTACACAAATGGGTGTTGGCTTTTCCAGGTTATAAAATGAGAATCTTTGAGAGCTGAAATAGGCTGAGATCAAAGCCATGTCTAAGGTCATAACTGGGTAGTGGTAGGGAGAAGATGAGAAGCCAGGTTGAACACTCATTAAGGAACATGAGTTTCTTTGAGAGGCAGATTGACACAGAGGAGAGAGCAACAATTGGGACCTACTGATAAGTCCAGGCCCTACTGATAAGAGGTCAACATGTCCATTTCTTGATCTTCAGATAATCCATAAGACACTATCATATAGTTGCTAGTTATGTTGCTTGTTGCCACACTGCTTAAAGTCTGTTAATTATTCAATTAGACAAATATTTCTTGAACATCTACCACATTGTCTTTATTTTGGTAGCACTAGGTTAACAGTTGTGATTAAAATAGGCTTCCTTTTCTCCAGTCATTTACATTCTGATGGAGGGAAGATAGTGACTAAACAAACATTCATATATTCCAGGTGCTGATAGGCAGTAGGTAATGTGTGACATCTTCTCAAAGTGCTTCCCACTGTCATAAATGGGGTCTTTTGAATAAGAGATGGTTAGGTACAAAGATAAAATCAATTTTCAAAAACACTTTAAAGGTAGAGAAGTCAAGTTGCAAAGCTTACTGTCATTTCTATTGAGATTTTCCTACACAGGCAGCAGCCAAGGCCCTAGAGACACAGATAGACTCCAAGACTCCCCAGCCAAGTCATTCTAGATGGGTCCCTGTCCATCAGTCAGTGGTCTTGTGGAGAATGACTGCATCACCAGGACTGCTACAGAACCACATTAATGGCTGCAAAGATGCGACCTTTTTAAGAGGGTTGGGCATGAGCCACCATGACCTTTATAGGGACCTCACAAGTCTTTCAGACCACTCTGTTGGCAGATGAGTGGCTTTAGCTCCTAATTTCCCTAACAATGTTGAAGTTACTTCTTGAATTGGCAGACTTGGGATTTAGGATTTCTCTGCCCCAGTTCTACTAACTGAAAACATAAATAGGACCATCATAGCCAAGACTCATCTTAAATGCTAATTCCTCAGTGAGGCTTCCCTGGTCATTATAAATAATGGCAACTGCTCCGCTCCCTAATAGTTCCTCTCCCCTTCCCAATTCTTATTTTCTCTTTACTCCTTAGCACTAATCCCTATTTTATTTAAGCTCAGTGATTAATACCCACTAGAATGTTAAATCTCTTAGAGCAAGTTATAAATTTTTTATTTTAGACATTGTTTTGTTCCCAGAACTAGAAAGAAGCACATGTAAGTGTTCAATAAATATATACTGAGTATGTACGTGAAAGAATGAACAAATGAACAGTATCTAAATATGGTTATGTTGATTATTTCTGTTGCCCAAGAAAGTAAGTCAAGAAAAGATATCACCCTTTAGAAAAAAATTGGAGATCGTGGCCTAAAATATCTGCCAACCACTTCCTTAGAAAGAATGTTAGAGAATAGGAATTACAAACAAGATTTGAGGCTAAAAAGTAAAATTTATTTCTATCCATTTTATGATGTCTTAATGCAAGCAAACAAAAAATGAATGGATCTTTAACCATAGCAAGCATGTGAGCTCTTTGGTTACCACAGTTCCCCAGAACCTCTTCACATCTTTTTGTAACCAAACACTTCTCTTCATGCTTTAAGTTTAAACAAAGATTCATATCCCCAAAGATGTTGATAGACTCAAACTATCACATATCAAACAGAAAGCATGAAAAGTTCAATAATGTGATGCCACAGCTTTCATCACAGTGGCCAGGAATTAGAGTGAACTGCAATCTCACACAACTGCACCTTCACCACAGTACAAGCTGCCCGCTCACCACAGTACGTGCTGAACACTCTGTTCTAATACTGAAAAACCAGGAGGGAAACTTATTGTAATGGTGGCATCACATTGACTCCTCTAAGACCAACTTACCCTTTGGCAATGACTTAGTTTTGTCTGAAGAACACAGAGGAAGCACAGAAAACAGTTAAGGGAAATAGGTGGGGTGGGGTGGGGTGGGATTAGAAGGGGAAAGCCCAATGAAGGCAAAGATGAAGGCACGCTACGTATTTTATCTAAAAATACTGCATGGTTGCCCAAGACACATAAATAACTAACATCCTGTGGTCATTACATATGTTATACTTCCCACTCTCACTCTACACAATGATAAGTTGTGATATTTCAGGTTTTATTATGCCTATTTGAGAACTGAAATGGAGACCATTAGGGGACTTGCCCAATGTCTCACCATTAGTAATTAGCAAAAGTAGAACAAAAACTTAAGTCTGAGGCCTGATCCAAAGCTCTTTCCACTGGTATTTACATGTTCTGTCTGGACTAAAATTAGCAAGAAATTTTCTATTTCGTTAGCAGAGGAGGGCAGTTGGGGGCGATTGGGCCAGCAGGGGAGCAGTTAAGTGTCAATCAGGATGAGAGGGAGTAATTAGGGGGTTTTCAGGCTGGCAAGCAGAAGTGGTTAGGAGCAATCATGCAGGCAGGCAGGCGAGCGGTTGGGATCCAGCAGTCCTGGATTGTGAGAGGGATGTCTGACAGTAGGGGGTGTGCAAGAGGCAGCTGATCGATGATTCTCTCTCATCGATGTTTCTAACTCTCTATCCCTCTCTCTTCCTCTCTGTAAAAAAATCAATAAAAATATATATTAAAAAAACACACACACACAAAAACAATAACCTTAAAAGAAAATGGATTAAATACCCCAATCAAAATACATAGAGTGGCAGAATAAATAAAAATATACAACTTGCCAAAACCGGTGAGGCTCAGTGGACAGAGCGTCAGCCTGTGGACTGAAAGGTCCCAAGTTCAATTCTGGTCAAGGGCATGTACCTTGGTTGTGAGCACATCCCCTGTAGGGGGTGTGCAAGAGGCAGCTGATTGATGATTCTCTCTCATCGGTGTTTCTAACTCTCTATCCCTCTCTCTTCCTCTCTGTAAAAAATCAATAAAATATATCTAAAAAAAAAAAAAGAATACACAACTGATATATATATGTTATCTACAAGAGACACACCTCAGAACAAAAGACTCACACAGACTTTAAGAGAAGGAATGGAAAAAAATTTTTAGGAAAATGAAAATGAAAAGAAAGCTGGGGTAGCAATACTTATATCTGACAAAAATAGACCTCAAAATGAAGGCCATAACAAGAGATAAGGAAGGCCACTTCAAAAAACCAAAGGGATTGATACAACAAGAGGATGTAACTCTGGTAAATATATATGCACCCAATATAGGAACAACTCTATACCAACAAACTGGACAACCTAGACGAAATGGACATATCCCTAAAAAAAATAAATAAATAAATAAATAAAAATGCAATCTTCCAAAACTCAATCAGGAAGAATAAGTAAACCTAAATAGGCCAATAACTACTGATGAAATTGAAGCAGTAATTTAAAAAAACTTACAGAAAACAAAACCCTGGTCTGGATGGCTTCACAGGGTAGTTTTACCAAACATTCAAAGAAGAATTTGCACCTACCCTCCTCAGACTACCCAAAAAAATTCAAGAGGAAGGAACACTTCCAAGCTCTTTTAATGGAGCCAGTATTACCCTAATCCCCAAACCATATAAAAGCACTACAAAGATAGTTCATTACAGGCCAATATTCCTGATGAACATAGATGGTAGAATTCTCAACAAAATATTATCAATGCATTAAAAAGATAAGAAACCATGACCAAGTGGTAATTATTCCAGGGATGCGATGCTATGTCAATATCCACAAATCTATAAACATGATACATCACATAAACAAGTTGAAAGACAAAAAGCACATGATCATATCAATTGATGCAGAAAAAG